TCTCATGAGATATACTGAAGTGTGGCCCCTAGATTGCAAAAATGAATGTCATCTGCCCGTGGAGTAGTAGGGTCGAAAGCTGCATTGCGGTAGGCTGACGGGAGTCCTGGAAAGCCTAGAAACTGAGAGTAGCTAGAGATGACTTCTTCCAAAAGATGAGCTTTGGGCTCTATAGAAGCAGTTTCTCAGCACAGTAAGGTTGAAGTCATCTCCAGTCAAGCCTGGAGCACTGCCCTCTGGGTTTGGTCAGTATAAGGTTCTGGATTTCAGTCTTGGCTCTAGCTATTAGCAGCTGTGGAGACACTCCACCATCTCAGTCTTTATTGCTTGCCAATTGTAACTGCTTTCAGCTAAGTTTATTCCTTGCTCAGGGGCTGTTCCAGTTGTCAGCTCTTCCTCCTCTGGTAGGGAAAGTGGAAAACTATTCTTTTAATGTTACCACTGTTGTAGTCTCTACTGTTGTAGAAATTCTGGAGTAAGACTAATAAATCAGGGCTTGTTTCTTCCTTCGACTATTTCGATAAATTGTTGTTCTTTGCTTAACCCTGTTGAATGACCTAAGCAGATAAGTACAGTTAAGGGGATATTTTATCTGGTTCTGGGTTTTAGTGCCTAAAAACTTGTTTAGTCTCTTAAATTACCCTAACTTGACTTAAACTTCCTGTATTTAAAATATAGTAATGCAAGAGTGACTTTAATTATTAATTAGGTACCATGTATAAATAGCATAATTATGGTCTGGTTGGATCTGAGAAAATTCTAAGGTGATTAAGGTTGTGATTCATTTCTGTCTTGTGATTGCTATTATGAAAAAGTGTTACATCATCAATTTTAGCTTATATAACTATTTTGAAAAGTTAATTGAAAATTTCGTCTGTGTTACTGCCTGCTTGGACTTTATAAAAGTCTATAAAATCTGCACGTTTATAGATTTACCCCCTAAATCTATAAAAATTAAAAAACACATACTACAATTTTTTTTAAGATTTCATTGCGATTTAATTTGAATTTGCCTAATGCCTAATGATTTTGAACATCCTTTTAGGATGCTCACATGCCATCTGTATATCTTCTTTGGTGAAATGTCTGTTCACATTTTTGCCTTTTTTAAAAAAATGTTTTTGTTCTGTTTCTTTTAAGAGACAGGTCTCTCTGTTGTTGTCCAGGCTGGAAAGCAGTGGCTGTTCCCAAGTGTGATCATAGTGCACTGCAGTCTTGA